AAGGAAAAGATTAGTCCAAAGGACTAATGGACCACAGCTACCAAGGCCTCCACCAGACTGAGTCCAGTACAGCTAGATGGTGCCCAGCTACCACCACTAACTGCTCTAAGTGGGATCACAACAGAGGGTTCTGGACAGAGCTGGAGAAGGGTGTGGAACAAAATTCTAACACACACAAAAAGACCAGATTTACTGGCCTGAAAGAGACTGGAGAAACCCTGAAAGAGTATGGCCCCCAGACACCCTTTTAGCTCCGTGGTGAAATCACTTCCGAGGTTCACTGTTCAGCCAGGGATTGGACGGCCCCATAAAACAAAACAGGACTAATGAGGCACAGCAGTCCAAGGACAAGGACTAGAAGGCAGAAGGGGACAGGAAAGCTAGTGATAAGGAACCCAACTTTGAATAAGGACAGTGTTAACATGTAGTGGTGTTGTTAACCATTGTCATAGGGCAACATGTGTACTAACTGTTTAATGAGAAACTATTTTCTTCTGTAAACCTTCATCTAAAGTAAGAATAGCAGCACAACTGGAGAACATAATCGATGTCACTGAATTGTGCATGTAGAAATTTTTGAAATGGTGTATCTTTGGCTATGTATATTTTCACCAAAAAAAAAAAAAAAAAAAAAAAGGTCAAGAAAGGAGAGGGTTGACATGTCTTGGGGTTGTTAACCAATGTCATAAAACAATATGTGTACTCACTGTTCAATGAGAAACTATTTGTTCTGTAAACCTTCACCTAAAGTACAATTTAAAAAAATAAAAATAAAAGAGACATTATAAGTATCATTAAAAAAAAGAAAGAAACTATTTGTTCTGTAAACCTTCATCTAAAGTACAATTAAAAAAATGGGAAAAAACAACAACAAAAAGAAAAAAACAAAAGTAAGGCATGATTAACAGTCAGCTGCTGCTGACAGGTCAAGCAGGATGAGGATTAAAACATGGCTGTTAGATGTAACAACGATAATAGTTAATATTCCTGGGAACTATCGTAAGACCTTTAAGCGTATTAGTAACTCATTTATCCCCATTTTCCAGATAAGGAAACTGAGGTACAGAGACTTACATAACTTGCTCAAATCATACATTAAGTAACTGGCAAAGCTTGGTTTGAACTGAGGGAGCCTGATCCCACATCATGTGCTCAACTACTATGATATGCTACTCTCTCCTAGCTATGCAGAGGTCATCACTAATTTTGTTAAGAGCCGTTTAGGTCTCATGAACTGGGAAGAATCTAGATAGGAGCTGATACTCTTCCATCTGTGTTCCCCCAGACCTCTGACCCTCCGCTTTCTGCTGGTCTCCCTTGTCATAAGCTTGAGGCCTCTCCAAGTCTGCCAGCTCATATATAATGGCTTCAACACTTTTGGCCACGTGGGAAAACATTTGGTTGCTTCCTGAGCCCTGTTAAGGCACAGAGGGACTTTGTGAGGTGGTTTTAGGCATCTCATAGATATGGTGATCATATGCTGCAGTTTGTGAAAGTCTCTGTTTATGCTTGCCCTCGCATAATTATGAATAGCTCTCCCTTTCACTCTCAAGGGCGTCCTACCTCGAGTGATAAATTATATAGCATCCTGTGATGGTCAGTTTTATCTGTCAACTTGGCTAGGCTATAAACCACTAGGCTACAAACCAAACCACTGCCACTGAGTTGATTTCAACTCATAGAGACCCTAGAGGACAGAGAAGAACTGCCCTATAGGGTTTCCAAGGCCGTAATCTTTACGAAGGCAGACTGCAACCATCTCTTTCCTGCAGAGTATCTGGTAGGTTCGAACCTCTGACCTTTCAGTTAGCAGCCAAGTGCTTTAACTACTGTGCCACCAGGGCTCCTTTGGCTAGACTATAAACCAAAAAATCCAATGCTGTCAAATTGATTCTGATTCATAGGAATCCTATAGGACAGAGTAGAACTGGCCCATAGGGTTTCCAAGGAGTGGCTGGTGGATTCAAATGGTCGACCTTTTGGTTAGCAGCCATAGTTCTCAACCATGGTGTTACCAGGGCTCCTGGCTAGGCTACGGTTCCCAGTTATTCAACCAAACACTATACAGGTGTTTCTGTGAAGGTATTTTATAGCTGTGATTAAAGTCTATAATCATTTTACCTTAAGTATAGAAGATTATCCTAGATAATCTGAGTGAGCCTGATTTAATCAGTTGAATGGTCAAGAACAGAACTGGGGCTTTCTGAAGAAGAACCACTACCTGTGGTCAGCAGCTGCAGATCTTGTCTGCGATTTGCAGGCTTATTTTTTAATGGCCTGCTTTATGAATTTTGGACTTACCTAGCCAGCCTCCCCAATTGTATAAGCCAATTCCTTGCAATATATCTCTTAATACATAGAAAAATAATAAACAAATAAATAAAATCACACTTGAGTACTGTGCTCCTCTAAACAATCATCTAAATGAGACCTAATGGTGAACACTTACCCTAGACCAAAGATGAGAAGGTAAGGGGGTACAAGGAAGTTAGTTTAATGGAAACAGAACAACCAGAACAGAAATAATGAGAATACTGACACATTGTGAAAAGTATAACCAATGTCACTGAATAATATGTATAGAAATTGTTAACTTTTTCATGATCTGTGGTATATACGGTGTACCACTCACTTTTTCCAGCTCTTAGGTTCTTTGGTAGTAAGCTTTTATCACTGAAAGAATTTGTTTCCCTCCAGTGGGGACTTGCATAATGGCAAAAGATGAAAGAAACATTAGTTGAAACAAAATATCTGGGGTCTGAGGCTTGCAAGTAAGGTAGTGCAACCAGGAAGTGTGATTGGGTGAAAAATCAGTCTCTTTTGGCTTTTGTACCCCTAGATAAGCCTTGTAAGCATATCTGTGGTTTCCTGTGTGATAGCTAGGGAGCCCTGGTGGGTTTGGTTGTGTCTTTTTTGTGTCATATTTGGAAAACCAGAGGTTCTCCATGTAACCTAATGGAAGGCACCACAAAAAAACATCAGCAACCAAAGTCCGGGGGTAAAGACAGGAGATCTATAAGTATGGGTTCTAGAACTTTAAAAGTTCTGTGGTAACCATATAGTACCAGATGATATTTCTCAAAATCTGTATTACAAACCAAAAGTTTAAACACACTCCATGACTCAGCATGCTTTCATTAATGAAAACATATGGTATCAAAAAAAACTCAAAACAGAAAATAACTGGACTTTGGAAGTTAAATGAGAACCTAATGTGCTATATAAATTTTCTCCATTACAACAAAATATTAAAAAAAAAGAAAACAATGTGCCTCATTCATTCAATAGATATCCAACCACAGTTCAGTCTGAACATGTAAAGTCAAACAAATGGCCTAAGGGTCTTGCTCTTTGAAAGCACAAGGCCTTGTAGAGTAATTAAAATATGATGTGACCCATGCAATGAAAATCATATACACAAGGTACAGAAAGATAACTGAGGGAAGTAGGTAGACCAATATTTGCATTCAACTCCTTTAACTGTAGAAAAATATGATGTTAGATTAGTTTTACCTAAATATTCATTGATTTCTATAGAAGCAACTGCGGCTTCAATGAAATAATGCCCTAAATGATAATTAAAATTCATAACAACTGAAATACCTTCCTAGTTTATCAATAAAATACAAGGTACATAATAGCTCTCATCTCTATAATATTCAAAACTAGGGCAAAGATAGTCATGATTAGGCCTCTGAGCACTTTAATAATATTTATAAAATTTGATAATTCACTTACGAATTAAGGGCTTCCACTTGATTGTTGGCAAAGGAACAATTGCATTTTCATTATTGACAGATTCCAAGGCCTTGGGGCTTGTAGGAAACTTTTCTGAAATTCTGACTGATGACTGCAGATACAGCTGTCCTCTGTACATTCCTGAATCAACCAAAACATTGCCAATTATGTTTAGAATCCTTTTGCAAGCACCAATGATTTTTTTTCAAAGAAGGTTCGTTTTGATTAAAAAAAAAAAAAAGATTAATTCGAGTTATTTATTCATGTGCTACACAGCTCTTTACAAAGAAGAACCATGCCTGGAGCACTCAAATTTGACTCATGGGTTACCCAACAAAAATAACAGGGAAAAGGCCCATGCAATGTGTCTCACAGAATAACAGTACAATTTCCATAATCACAGAAAAACCCTGCCTGTAGAAATTTCAACAGTAGGAAGCCATTGTAAGCCTTATGTAACTGATAGCTCAGATGAAGTGACTTTCTGCTTAAAGAAAATTTACCTGTTGTTAGGTGCCATCAAGTCAATTCCAACTCATAGCGACCTGGTGTGCAACAGAATGAAACACTGCCCAGCCCTGCCTCATCCTCATAATAGTTGCTATGTTTGAGCCCATTGTTGTAGCCACTGTGTCAATCCATCTCATCGAGGGTCTTCCTCTTTCTCATTGGCCCTCTACTTTATCAAGCATGATGTCCTTCCTTCTCCAGGGACTCATCCCTCCTGATAACATGTCCAAAGTACAAAGTCTTACCATCCTCACTTCCAAGGAACACTGTCTGTACTTCCAAGATAGACTTGTTTGTTCTTCTAGCCATCCATGGTACATTCAATATTCTTCATCAACACCATAATTCAAAGGCATCAATTCCTCTTCGGTCTTGTTTATTCATTGTCCAGCTTTCGCATGCATATGAGGTGATTGAAAATACCATGGCTTGGGTCAGGCATATTTTAGTCCTCAAAGTGATATCTTTGCTTTTCAACATTTTAAAGAGGTCCTTTGCAGCAAATTTGCTCAATGCAATAAGTCATTTGATTTCTTGAATTCCAGAGATAATGCTAACAATTCAGTTAAATACTATCATAATACATGTGTGACATGTTACCCTTTCAAATTCTTGTATTCTTTTAAGACTGAGGTATGGTCAGTACACTGATAGAGCTGAAAGAATTTTATAGGTATTTGACCACTGAGACTAGTTCCAATAATTAGATTAGAAATTTCAAAATTTATTATATTAAAGGTCTTCAATTGTCCAGAAGCACACAAGGGTTTTGTTTTTATTTCTCAGATCAGTTGTATAGATGTATAGAAACAAATAAACCCAGTCTCTAAGGAGGAAGCAAACTGATATACATGCAAATACAAATGTAGAAAGTTGTAGACTTTGAGGATATATGAGTAATTTTAAATCATGTTATGTAATGAGAACATTTCTAAGTCATTCTAACATAGATCTCAGAGAAAAACAATATGCTATTAAAATTTTCAGAATCGAACAAATGGAAAAATAGCAGGAATGGAAATCAAAGCATAAATCTTAAAGGCAATCTAAATCAGAGAATGTATTCAGGAATTAAAACTACTATAAACACACCTGAAGTAGAAAGGAACAACGAAGGAACATAATCTAGATGTCAATATGTACTGGATGAGAGACATCTACTCACCCAAGTAAACACTGCTTTCTGTGGCTCCTCGGGCAGCTTCTACAATGTCGTCTTCATCTTCTAAAATTTCATTGTTAGATACATAACTTGTATCATCAAAAAGACTGATTGGAATGACTTTGTCATCCTTAATCAACCAGGCAGATGCAATTGGAGTACAAAACTAAAGAAAAAATGGAAAAAAGATATTAAAGCAGTGTTTTATGTAGGAGTCACTGGGAGGCACAAATGGTTAAGTGCTCAGCTGCTAACCGTAAGGTTGGTGGTTTGAGTCCACCCAGAGGTATTTCGGAAGAAAGACCTGGTGACCTACTTCAAAACAATCAGCTATTGAAACCCTATGGAGCATGAGTTAGAATTGACTCCATGGCAACTGGTTTTTGGTTTTATGTAATCTCAACTTATAAAATACTGTCTAAAATCACAAATTGCTTAAAGCATAGAAAACAAGTCAAGAATCCAAAATGGCAGCTATTTCCCTCCACCCAATGAGTGTGATGAAACTGGGAGAGGAAAGAACACTGGTTTTAGGTACCTGATATTCCCATTCCAGATGTCCTCCCTTCTTGCTAAACGCCATAACCTTCCAATCGGCAACAGAGACTTTTATCACTGTGTCAATCATGGCAGCTTCCTGTTCTTCCACATCTGAAATAACTGTGGACTCTTCTTTGTTCCCATTGGGTTTAAAGGTGCTTTCAATAAATCCGGCTCTAGTTTCCATTTCTGGAATATACCGAAGTTCAAAGTGGCCAACACTGAAATTCCACCTTAAATTTACAAAGGTGTGTTTTAGAAATTACTTTTAGAAGAAGAAACCAAATAACACAGAACGCTTCTAGATTAAAGAAGAGTGAATAAGGAAGACCAAAGAAGAATCAATGCCTTTGAATTATGGTGTTTTGTGGTAAGAAAAAGAACTCAACACAACCTTCTGGAAAGGAGTGCGCTGATGATTTATGCCACAAGAGGGCCCTCAAGGACTTTGTCCTGACCTTTTAGGAACAATGATTCTGAATGTGGACTGACAACAGCTGTGGGACATATATTCTCAAAAATAAACAAATATTCATGCTGCCAAATCAGAGTGTTTTTCTCAAAACACATCAGAGTCACCTTAAAATGAGGTAGCATTAAGGTACCTCTTAATTAAAAGCTGGGCACATTTCACTAAGTGCACAGAAATTAATATATGCCAATAAACCAACGTAAAAGGCAGGATGAATGCACCAATCTTAGATTTATATAAAAACACGGCCTGAAGAGGCAATGTGATCTAGTATACTAATCTCAGTCAGTATACTGACTGGCATTTGCAAGTCATTTAACCTTTTCTGAGCCTCAGTATCCTTACCCATAAAGTTACAGTAATAATGTTTCCCCTACAACTAGGAAACAGAAAAATCACTTAACTATTGATAGTATCGTATCACTTAGATATAAAATGTCCTAGCTAAGAATTTCAATTTCTTTTGAAAAAAAATACACACTTAAGGAGGATGGATCTTAGATTCTGTTGAGCGTAACCAGCAAGCAGTCAAACATAAAAGGCAACAAAATCCCATCACGATAAAGAGTCAGGTTATCAGTCGATGCAAACCCCAACTCACAGTCCAGGGAAAGTAAAAAGAATTCATTCTTAACTAAAGTTGAGAAAAGTTTTCAAGACAGGAAACAGAATCATACTGCATCAGATTAGACAAAATTTGAAAGTCTGACTCATTTTCAAAAGACAAAGATCTAAAAATATTTTTATTACATAGGCAGTTTAAAATTTAAATATTAAGTTTAAAAAATCAAGCACGTGGTTTCCACCCAGTATATCTAATCCAATTGTCTTATTTTTTAATCACAGATGTAAATGTAAAAATTACAAAAGGAACTCATTATTGGAAAAAGGATTTGACTAAATAAATGATATTTTAATAACTCTAAGAAAACAGACTAAAATTATTATTTTAAAATTTGGACAGTGAAACAAACTAAGAAACAACCTACTAGACAGAACTGCAGAGTTAAATAAGCCCAAGCTGAAAACAAACACATTAACTTTGTCTTGAGAGCTTTCTGCATTCAAAGAACTTTGATTAGTGAGGTTGCCATGAAAAATAAGATTAACTTAAGACTAAACTAATACACAGTCATCATATGGGACTCCTACTGGTTACCATATCTTGAAACATACGGTGAAAAGTTCAGTCCAGGATTTGTTAACCATGAGGCCATTTTTAATTCAGGACCTATATTTCTCTTAAAAGACTAGTATGCTTTTAGGGCAACAAAATAGTTCAGTAAATCTCCACAAAGAAAAATCTGATGACTTTTGGTGTTAGGTATACTTTTAAATAATATCTATAGCAACATTATCTGAATACACACTTCTCATTGCCACTACGAGGTCCGACAGCTCTAACAGTTTTCTGGGTGCGTTGCAGAAGCAGGATGTCTTCTTGTTCCGTTTCATCACTATCCCATCGGCGACAACCCAAAGCTGAGCAGATATACCTCACCTAAAAAGACAGATATACAATCAGTGAAGGATACAAGTTATAGGAGATCAGAGGCATTAAAAGAATCTACATAATTTGTAAAAAGTAAAAGAAAACTGGGGAAATGTGTAAGAAGTAACCAAGTAATAAGCATCGTTTAGATTACTAACTCCTACAGTGAGTTATCTAGCACCATAAAAGTACCAATAAACATTTATTTCAGGGAATGATTTTAAGAATTTAGATAATTTTAGTCTTAGCTCGGAGATCCATGGAATAATCAAGAAAAAATGGATAACCAGTTGTGGTATCTTAGCAATAATATCATTAAAATTCCAGGTGAATTAAAAAAAAAAAAAAATCAAACTCAAAGTTTCCATATAACAGATATATTTGGTTTTAAACTTTTTAAACCTTTTCTAATAGTTTTAGTATTTTAAAGTACCTCCTTTATTAAAAGAAAAGGGAAGACTCTTACTACGATCTGAACTAAAAGCCTCACAAAGAGAAGCATCCCTGCTAGAATACCACAATTTTACAGCAGCACGTCAAATCAAAACCAGATGATCAGGTTCAATCTCGCTGTTTTATGGATGAGAATACTGAAAAAAACAGAGACTGACGTGCTTGCTCAAAAAACGCCCAGACAGGATTGCTTAGCTTCCTCAATACAATACAGATGCTGGTGGGTGAAGAAGGCAGAAAAGCATCTGCCAGAACAAAAAGGTGCTTTGGATATCTAAGTATCTAATACTTATATAAGCATTAGTGCCCAGATTCTGTTATTTAATTCTATTCCTCACTAAAAGGGACCAAGGCTCCTCAGAGAAATGGTTGATTCCAGGACTAGGACTGGGTAGGTACATGACGAACCTTTATCAACTTATTATTCCAGAAAGTAAAGATGTGCTCAAAAAATGATGGAGGCATGTCACGGGATATAAGAGTCAGCTTGAAGGAGCTCCCACTGGCCAAATAAGATTAAATAAGGAATCTTAAAGGTCTGGAAAACTCAAGCGTAAAAACATTATTTTCTCATTCTTCCCTGTTATATTTTATATATGATATACAACACAATGTTACAAACATATATTACATATATATATGTAAAATGTTCACATATCAAGATGTTAACGAAACCAGGAACGTTTCATTCTGTTATACATGAAGGTTACCATGAATCAGAGCTGACTCGATGGCAACTACCCACAACAAGAGCTTAAGAAAATATTTTTTAACTCAGAACTGAGGTCACTCCTGAGGTTAGGAAAGCTGGATGAATGAAAATGGGGAACCCAAGGTCAAGAAGGGGAGAGTGTTGATACGTCACTGGGTTGGCAACCAACGTCACAAAACAATATGGGTATTAACTATTTAACGAGAAACTAATTTGCTCTGTAAATCTTCATCTAAAGCACATACATACATATATATATAAATTTAAAAAAATTTTGACCTTTTTAAAAAATTTCTTACGTTTATTTTACAGTTAACTAATATTCTTATTTACAAATGCATATAAGTAGGAGACGCAGAACCGTAATATTTTCAGTGCTTATCAACCCAATATGGGTAGGTCTCATGTCTGATACCACTTTTTTACAACACTTTATTGTGTTCTAGGTGAAAGTTTACACAGCAAATTAGTTTTTCATTCAACAATTCATGCACAAATTGTTCCATGACATCAGCTGCTATCCCCGCAATGTGTCAGCACTCTCCCCATTTCTACGATGCCTTCCCCGTTTCCATCCCTCTAGCTTCCCTGCCTCTCCTTGCCTTCTCATCTTTGCTTTCGGGCAGATGTTGCCCATTTGGTCTCATATAGTTGATCATCTAAGCAGCACATTTCTCATGGGTATTATTGTTTACTTTATAGGCCAATCTATTATTTGGCTGAAAGGCAGCCTCCAAAAGAGCCTTCAGTTCCAGGTTAAAAGGGTGTCTTGAGGCGAGTCTCAGGGGTTATTTTGATCCTTTTTAAAAAAGATATTTTTAATTAGTTGCTTCTAATATGAATTTGGAGCCCTGGTGGCACCACGGTTAAGCATTCAGCTGCTAACCAAAAGGTCAGCAGTTCGAATCCACCAGCTGCTCCTTGGAAACCCTATGGGGCAGTCCTACTCTGTCCTATAGGGTCGCTATGAGTGGGAACTGACTCAACAGCAATGGGTATGGTTGTTTGTTTTTTTTTAATATGAATTTATATTACAAGACTCAAGCTTAGAAGAAAATTATATTACAGTTATATTCTAAGAGCTAATACTAGAAAAAGTCTAGGTCATTAACAGTGTGATCTAAGTCAAATCTGACCTTGAAAGTTTCTTAACCTTTTAAAGCCTCCATTTTTTCATCTGTAAAAGAGTATAAACTTTCCTCTTGGGTTATTATAGGACCAAACTAGACAAATACATATGTAGAAGCAATTATTCTTATTATCATGATTATTACTAGTCTTTGGAGGACTCTTCATCTGTCAAAATGGGAAAAAATATGTAACATTTAGGAATAGTGTGAAGATTTACAATCAACATATGAAAAAAAGCAGCTGAAACACGTATTAGCCCATTTTTATTAAAATGAGATCCTCAGAAGAAAATTATAGTAAACCTCAGAGTGATATTATAGTTTAAGAAATTATTTCTTCTATCCTTATTCTGATTTTCCCTAAAATAAATTCAACAATTGCACCCACCTTTCCACTATATGCACTGAGTCCATATGTAGTGAAAGATTTCCCTCCAGCCAAAACGACATCATCTCCATATTTATAAGAAGATTCAAGAAGTGACTCCACTGTGAAAGGAACTGTTTCCATGCTCTCACGGTCTCGGTCCCACTGGAAGAGGTCTCCATCCAGGGAAGGAATGATCATCTTGTTCCCAAATACCTAAAACAAAAGCTAACTTTTAAAAGGGTCACAAGTTTAAAACAAGAGCAGTAGCTAAGAGTTTGGGGCCTCATGTACTCCACCTTCCTTATGAGTAGCAAATGAAGGAACACAGTCCATCAACCAAAAAAGTAATTTAAAAGAACCGCAAATCACTCCCAGGCCTACAAATAATACTTTAGTACGGTTTTTCTCAAACTCTGTTCCATGAGACAATACCAAAACCAAAAACCAAACCCGCTGCTGACAAGTCAAATCCGACTCGTAGTGACCCTATAGGGCAGGGTAGAACTGCCCCACAGGGTTTCCAAGGAGCAGTTGGTTGGTAGATTCGAACTGCTGACCTCTTGGTTTGCAGCCTAGCTCTTAACCACTACCTCACCAGGGCTCCATGGGACACCAGTGTCCCATATTATAGGTGAGTTACCAAAAGCGTTTTGTCATCAAGTAAGTTTAAGAGGGTACTACAGGACTTCTGGTAGCCATTAATATGCTAATGTACACTATGTTTTTTTGTTTTCTTTTTAGTAAAGTAATAGCATTTGCAGTATTTTCCAGGCCAATTACTATCATAGACTTGGATACTGGTATCCACAGAACACAGGTTTGGAAATGTTGATTCAAGCTCCATCCCTTCTTTTATTTGCTTTCTCAAATCTGCAGTGAGCCTGGTAACTAAGCTTACTAGTTTTATGCTGTTTTCTCTCCTTCTTTTAACAATGTTTAGTGAGGGCCTACTGTGTGCCAGGCACTATTCTGGTGCTTGAGATAGATCAGTGAGCAAAACAAAACAAAATCACTGCCCTTTGTGGAGCTTAAATTCTGGTGATGGGAGACAAACGACATAATAAATTATATAGTATGTTAGGTGATAAACGTCATAGGAAAACAAATAAAGGAGGACTGGAAAATGGGAGGGAGGGGTTGTTAATAAGGCGCTCAGAGTAGGTCCAATTGAGAAAGTAACATTTGAGCAAAGACCTAAAGATGAGAGAGCTAATCATGCTGACATCTGGGGATAGTCTTTTGCAAAAGCCCTAAGGGGGAAGTGTCATGCTTGAGGTACAAGGAAAACGAACAGACTAGACTACAGGGGCAAGAGTGGAGGTGGGAAGAGCAGGCAGAAGATAAGAGAGGATGGTGGCTCCGATTAGGCTGGCAGCATGGAGGTGTGAAGGTGGGCAGATCTGGGATACAACTGGAAGGTGAAACTCAGTGCTGGCGAGTTGATTCCAACTCATAGCGAACTGGAAGGTAAAGCCAACAGGATTTCACAGGGGAATGACTGCAGAGCATGAGCCAACAGAAAGGAGTCCAGAATGACCACCAAGATTTTTGGCCAAGAACGTGAGTTACTCGTGAGTAAGATATGTAAGTTTTAGTATACGGCATTTAAAAAATATATAATTTGACTTATTTCAGTTAATGACACAACTATTCGCCTGGTTACTCAGGCTCAAAACTTTGGAAAAAGGGAGTATGAAAGAGGTAGGAGTTGAAAAGGACTCTAAACAAATGCCAGCCTTGTAAATCTTTTTAAAACAAAATTTCTGTACGCATTTGTTGCTGCTCCTGTTGTTGTTCTTCCTTAAGCAGCAGAATCATCTCTTTAAAGGTATACTCACTTAAATGTCCCATACAAACACTGGGAGTTCTAACTTGGTGCTCGACTCACACATTTTCCCTGTCTACTGCCCTTCCCCTACACCTCTGGGTTTCTAAAGGACAGGTTGAAAGCCGCTATTCTAATCTACTTTCTCTCATTTTTATTTCAAATCCTCGTTATCTCCTGCCTGACCTCTTATAATAGTCTCTTTACAATTCTTCTTAACTGAAAATTTCCTCAAACCAACCTCTACGTATCTTCTAGATTAATCTCTCTGAGACAGAGTTTAAGCTTGTTATTATACTACTCAAAAATGTTTAACAGCTCTCTATTATCATCTTATTAAAGACCCCAAATCCTAAGTATGACATTAAAAGTCCTCTAAATATGACCTCCAACAACCTTTCCGTGCTTGCCTTTCACTTCTCACCACGTGATAGGAAATTGGCTATCCTCACTTAAGCATGGCATATAATGTCACTGTTATTGTTCAAGCTCCCTTGTCATTGTCAATATCATTTCTTCTTCCTGGAACATCTGCCTGTACCAGCTCTGCCTACTGAAATCCTATCTGGCCTTCAAGTTAGCATCACTTATGCTTTGAACTCCAAGAAAATTTAGTGTAGGTTTGCTGATAAAAATCTTCTCAATCCTAATACTATACAAATTGACTCGACAGCAATGGGTATAAGCAGAAACACCAATAAATTCTCAAAAACTGTTTATTGTACTTTTAAGAAATATTTACCAGGTATGCTAATGTTTACACAGTGTTTAAAGAAATATACTCAACCCTAGTGCCTACATCTTATTATCTAATTCCACTGCCCACTAAAAGGGACCAAGGCTCCTCAGAGAGAAATGGTTGATTCCAGGGCTGGGGCAGGGTAGGTACGAAATGAACCTTTATCATCTTATTGTTCCAGAAAGTAAAGACGTGCTCACAAAATGAGGGAGACATGTCACAAGGTTATAAGAGTCTTCTTGAAAGAGTGCCCAGTGGCCAAATATAGACAATTTAAGCACCAAAATAATTAAGCACAGTAATGAATTATAAACCACTGAAGAAAAAAATAGGGATTCATGAGTCCATACCAGTAACAAATAGATAAATAACGTATAGGAGAGAAAGGAGAGCTCTTGCTGCAACAAAATGCCAAATGCCTACTGGTAAATGTGAAGGGAGGCTGGAGTTGGAAAAATCAGCATTTTGCAATCATCATAGTAAAGACTAGATCGCGCAAGAATTAGCAATGGTGATGGAAATTTCGATGAGGATATATAAAGATATTTACATGGTCTTATAATGTCTCCCCACAAATTGCTTATTAGTTATAAGATATAAAAACAAATGAACAGTGATTACACATTGGAAAATTTGAACAATATCTTGACTGAGTCAAATTATCATTAATAAATGGCAGATATGATACTCTGAAAAAGGACACTATATTAACCTATGCAGTATTCCAGCCAAGAATGCACAACCTGAATCTAATCAAAGGAAATACCAGACAAGCACAAAATAAGGGAATTTCTATTTTTTAAAAAATGGAACAGAGACTGTATTTTTCAGAAATATAAATGTCATAAAAAACAAAGGTTATGGAAAAATCTAGATTAAAAGAGGCTAACATGACAAATACATAAATGTAATACCTGATCCTAGACTAGACTCTATACTGGGGTGAAGGATGTAATAAAGGACATTATTAGGTCAACCGACAAAACCAGAATATGGATGGTAGATTAGATACAAGTATTGTATCAGTGTAAATTTATGAAGCTGATAACGGTACTGTGATTATATAAGAGAATATCCCTATTAGGAAATACAAACTGAAGCAGGTATTTAGGAGTAAAAGGCTATGATGTATATTTAACTTATCTTCAAACGGTTTAGAAAAAAAAGTGTGGAAGGGGGGACAGAAAGAGGGTGAAGGAGAGTGTGCACAAGCACAAACGATAGGGCACATAAGGTTTAGCAAACAAGGTTTGGATAGGTGAATCTGGGTGTACAGGTGTTTTTTGGTACTGCTTTTACTTGTGCAGCTTTTCGTAGTTTGAAATTAATCCCAAATAAGAGAAGAGAAAGGAAAAGAAGGGCACTCCAGGACACTTGTGGGAGCTCTGTGATTTAAATCAGAGGCTTCACCATGAAACAGAAGGTTCATCATAATTCTGGGTAAAGATTTCCAACTATTACTCTTCACTGAAAAACATTTGATCTTTAATAAACTCTCGAATGCTATTAGTATGTACCCCACCTAACATTACCTTAGAGTTTCAACATTACTATTATCATCTTTACTACGTTGATAACAGCAGATATCAGATTTAATTTTAATAAAAATTTTCTATCTTTTGTAGAATGTCCAAATTGAAACTGTCATTGAGAATAAATTTGTGATAATATGCATATCCTACAACAATATGATCTCCCATTTCAAGTTGCATATCAGTTAGAAAATCAAATATTTACTGCTTTCTACCTCCCATAGTAAGTTCGGTATTCTATACTCCATTTACTAGAACAGTAAATTCAAATATGATATAGTTTAAAAAAAAGAGAAGCTATTTAAATTGTCCAGTTATCCCAAGAGTTGTAGTAGGTTAAGGTACAAACAGGGAAAGCAGGTGTGCAACACTAAAAGAAAGAGGAAGAGGCATTAGTGTGTCTGTACACAGAGGGCATTTATTTTGACTGTTTCCTCTTCCATTAACAAGCTCTTTTCCCCTAAAGCAGCAGCAGGTCGTCAGGCAACACAATGGATCCCAAGTGCAAAAAGCAGCCGACAAGCTAAGAGTTGAGGAAAGTTCATCTTTGCATTAAGGGTGATCTATGTGCCGCCAAAAGTAAAAGAACACAAACTTATTACCGTCGATTAAAAATATGGGTTACAGAGCTAAGAAGACTTGATGTGACTGATCATACTGAGTACAAGAGAAACTTGCCTTGTTTTAGAAGTTAACTATTCAACAGCACTAACTCAATGAGACAAGTGCAAAAACCAAAACAAAACAGCATTATGATTCAATACTGAATCATCATGTCATATTTCCAGATGATGATTTTAAAAGTGCACTTTTATATAGCTGCTCTTCACTAATTGGCTGTCTGTGAGTCACACAAATGGGTGCTAACCTCTGCACCAATCATCATGAAGTCTTTCATGCCGCATATGTGAAACCAGATGGTGCTTTTCTTTGCGAGCCACAGAAGCAATATATGCATGCAGTTCAGGTAAAGAGATGACATCACCCTTCACAATAGCATTACCTCACCCCCTAAGCATAGGAATGAGTCACCCAAAGAGTCAGCTGCAAATTTCTTGGTAGAAAAAAATGTAGGTTACGGTGATGCATTTTCACATTCCACTGATTTGTCCATGTA